GAGTCTCCCTAAGGGAAAGGGAGACATTCTTTTTGATTCTTCCTGCATCTTGCTGGCTGGTGCCACTGTGAGCCATGAATACATGGGTGACTCCTGGGAAGGGCACAGATGTCTGAAAGGACTTCAGGGACCCCCATAACAAGTCTGGAATTTCCAACTCCAGGCCTCCCCACATGAATCCCAACTGAGACAATAACCATAGCTGCAAAGTTCAGGGAAGCCATGAAAACGGAATCCTTCCTAACCCAAACGTGGGTACGCCGAGCAGCAGACATGACTGCTACTGTTTATCGCTGTACTTACTATGTGCACCTACTATGCACCACTTTAAATGTATGTTATTGCATTTGATCCTCACAACATCCCCAGGAGGCAGATATTACCCTTATGTTAAAGGTCATGTCACAAAAGGCTTACAGAGTTTAACAGTTTGCATCAAGTGAAAAAGCTGATTAACCGAGGGATCTAGAGATCCAACTGAAGTTGAATCAGATTCCAAAGTCCATGCTCTTTCCACTCATCATGCGGAATCTGTAAGGAAAACCCCATGAATTTAGAACGGATACCAGTTTCACGGTTAGTAACCTACAGCAAACTGATAAAGTGTCACAGACAGGCTGGCCTAAAAAAGGCTTTCAACACCATCTTGTTTTTTGTTCCTTTCAAAGTCATAAGCATTTATAAAGGAACTTATCAGGGAACTTACTAGTTCCCTTATAAATATAACTGCCCTTTTAATTTTACGAGAAGATTTCAAATGATGTGACCCATTTAACTGAACTGTTCTCATTTAAAGTTACATTGTGAAGAACCAACAAATAATGAATTCTCTTTATATAGTTCTATATTTCAGTCATATAAACAGAGACTACGTGACGCCTTGAAGAGCTTTTTGAACAAACAATAATGAATTTTTTATATAGCTCTATATTTCAGTCATGTAAACAGAAACTATATGTGAGGCCTTGAAGAGCTTTTCCTTGCCTTGAAAAGAGGTCTCTGAGTCTGTCCAGCACATAACCACCCAGCATCTTACCCTTCCAACCAGGAAGAATTGTTAATCAAGTTCCATGAAGAGACACCTTCAGCCATGGGGATCAATGCATCTAGTGAGCCCAGGGCTTTCCCAGTTTCAGCACGGAGAGTCCTACATCCGGGGAACTTCCTCAGTCCCGAGAAAACCTGGAGGAATGGTCACTCTATGGCCTCGGGGTACCATATAAATGCATAGTTAGGTCTTCAACAAGACTTACTAAAATATGAGCAGTTTATAGTAAATCGGAGATGAGCACGATTATAAAGTATCATTTTAAGATATTTAGGCTGTTAAGCAAAAAGGAATTATAAAGCTCTACACATTCATGCTTAACCAAGAGAATGTTGTTGAGAACATCAAAAGTTTGTCAAACTCTTCAATGTAACGGTATTCAACATGTCTACCAGCATCTGCATTCGCCAGTTAAAAACAAGCTCTGAAGAGCACATATACATTTATACACAATGAACAGCTCATCTATGCATAAAATTGAGATACTATACGGGCAAAGAATGAGAGAGAAAATCAACTTTCATCCCAGAGTGTTAAAGTACCTCATCTCTGTGAAATGGTGGAAAAGTCTAATTTTGAGGTTTGAGTTTTGTGGTATCATGATTGACTAAAAACTCTTGCAAGAGTAAAACAGGAAATCTGTAAATTAAAGAGGTTGGACCAGGTACACACTGAAGTCTCTTCTAACTTGAACATTCTATGGCTCAAGTTCATCACTGTGTGAACTCCTTTAACTTTATACGTGAAGCGAGTCAGGCTGGAGAGTTATAGGACATTCCGAGGCTCCAGCTCTGCCTGGTGATAGAGCCTGGACTACTTAGGAGCCAAGCCCTCATCATAATTATGTTTAACAACACTTGGACCAAAAGAGCACATGATCAGAATAAAAAGATAAGGACACATTTCACCTCATGTCGGATATTTTACTTAGTTTAGCTCATAAACAGATAAATGGGCCTCAAGTTTTTAAAAAAGGTAGTCTAGAAACTCTTTAAACTGTCCTTAGTTACTTCAACCATATAATAGCACCATATTCTGAATATATACACAGTACTACTTTTCACAAACTGTCCCAGCAATCCAAAGGAATGAACACAGTAACTTAAAGAGAGAACAAACATCTTTGTAGTTTGAAGAACTACAGAAAACTTTCCAAATCAATTACTGCTTGTTGCCCAAATGTCCTAGCACCAGGGTCTTGTAAGCAAAGCAAACAGGCATCTGAGCAGTTTAAGGAGTGCCAGAAACAATCAGGAAGCTTGGTGTTTCTTTATTCTCACAACTTTACTTTTATAAATAAGAGAGATTTCAAAAGAGCATGGAAGTGTACAGGCACTTCCTGTTCAGTCAGTATGTTACTATTTCTTAATCTGGGAAGACCCCCCCCCCCACGAAATTAGATAAACATGAAAATCTGCTGCCTTCAAGGGAAAAGAGGGATTGTTTTAGGTAGCAGGTCCATATGGAGTTATTTCTCAGTCACACTTTTGAATTTATGCAGATCCACCTATATGCCAGTGCTGGGCCTCTTTAACCAAGATACCAGTCATTCACAAACAATAGGTTTAGGGGTACAATCTGTGGCTGTGATGCTGAGCAACACCACTCTACTTCGGCTTCATTGGCATACCTTTCTGACAAGAGGCAGCTGTGGATATTACTAGAGAAGGCCAGAGTTGCTGTGCTAAGGGGCCCTGGGCAAATCACTAAAATCTCCCAGGCTCTCAGTTTCCTGTTTGCATTATCTGTGAAATGGCATTAATAATTTCACACGTTGTAGGTTTACTAAACTAAAAATACATAAATGTTGAAAGGGCTTTGTAAGTCATACTTATAATACATTATTTTACCACCTGATATGGCAAAAGACTGCATTTCTGACATAACGAAACTGACCCTGGGGTCATAGGAGTTCATACATAATCTATCACAAAAGCTGTTAATAAAATATTTAAATACACAATAAATAGTTGTTAATTCAAAGGACAAGTCCAGCAAAGCACTAACTATAAACTAGAGATAGGTAGAATTCTTCAGTATTATAGCAGTTAGAATGGTTTACTACTCGAGCCTTATGCTAAAAATCACATAGGTGATTTTTTAATGTCAATTTTATACATGCTCTCACAGCCCTTCAGCATAAAGGTGTTCATTAACCATTACTTATGGGCACAGTTCATTCCCCAAATAACACTTCAATGCTAACACTTTTTACTTGTGTGCTTTTCAATCTAAAATGCCAGATCAACACAGCCTCCCAGCTACAGCCATATTCTTATTTACATAAAAAGAGTAGAACGGAATGGAAAAACCCACTACATCCACAGCCATATACCACTACAAAGAAAAAGCAGAATGAAACACCAAAATCAAAAGCAAACAGTACTTTTCCAAACAGAGACAAAATGTTCTTAAAAATCCCCTCAGTTTCCCAAACTCACAAACACCAAAGGAACATAATACTCTTTTCAAACAAGCATGAGAATGACTCTATCAACTAAAACATTACCAAAACCCTACAATGGAATGCTTATATTAAGATGTCCTTCATACATTTATCCTTGGACTACTTTAAAAATTAAGTTTTGCAATATGAAATCCGTACAACTTGTAATGGTGAGTGTAAACAAGGTATGAGAAATACACTAAATATTATCCTCTCTTGGAGACTTACCGAAATTCTTTCAACAGGAAAGCCTGCAGAATCTAACAAAAAAAATTTTTTTTAATTGGGACTATATTTTCAGTTAACCCAGAAGAGTTTTAAGTGAAGTCAACCTCTCTTAAATACACTTGCCCTAATTTCTTCTCTCACAGACCTAATGTTTTCTTGCAACATCAAACTACTGTGGGATATGGGTAATCTTTTTAAAGATTACATAACTTCTTTCTAAACGATATCGACGTCTGAGGCTAAATCAAAAACACTATAATACAAATAGAAATGCTGGATACCCATTTTTAACCTAGATTGAAATCGCTTAATTTTCAGAGAGTTGTATCTCAGGAGTGACTTTCTCAATAAATTACTCGGAATTATCAAATAGGAAACACTTCATGCTCAGCCAGAGTCTTTAAGGAGGTGAGTCATATTCTAACAGTAAAGGCAAAGGACAAGAACTAAATGACTTTTCAAAGGCTAACTTTTCTCACTCTCTTCATATTCTCCAGGTTCGGTTGCTGTGTTGATATCAGATCGTAGCCCAAGGAAGCATATTTATCTCAACTATCAGGACCACAGCGAGTTTTACCCCAGGGCGGGAAAACGCCCGCAATAATAAGCCAACTTAGGAAACCACCACAGAACAGAAAACTCAGAAAACACCGGTTTCCACCACCCGACTCCACCTTGCTCCTTTCTTTTGCTCTTCCATCTGTGGTTAACTTTCAAAACAAAAGCAAAGAAACCTGTTGGAATGGATTTTTAAAAGATAAATACCCTATGTGAAGCAGAAATAAGTTGCTCTAAGGAAGCTGTCGACTCATTCATTTATATACAGCCCCAGAAAATACACCCACATGTATTTCGATCAGCGAAGATGTAACCTGGTGATGTGCCGAGAAGATGGAATCTAAAACAAGTCCCAGAGACGGCTGCTCTCCCAACAGAAAAAAAAATAATGATAATGATAATAACGCGGTTCTTCACCCAGGCAGCTCCACGGACGCGGGCTCTGCAACTCTGGAGGTGCAGAAATTCAAACGAACCCCTGCCGCTCAGAAGTGCAGCATCTCCGGGACCAGACAGGGCTCGGCCCGGGTAATCCCACCCACTGCGCGCTCTACCTCGCCGAGCAGTCCAAACAGCCCCAGGCCGGGGCGTGTCGGCTGCTCCGCCCAGAGGCCGAGGGGGAAGCGAGCAGCGAACGGGATCGGCGGGCGGGAGACTGAGCGGGAGCGCAGAGCTCCCCGCCCGAGTCGGCAGAGGGGCGGGCTGAGGGCGCCGGCTCACCTGGCGCGGAGGACGGCTGGACGCGCGCGCCGCCGCCGCTGCTGTTGCTGCCGCTGTTCCTGAGCCGCCGGCCACGGCGCCCCCGGGCACAGCACCCCCGCTCGGAAGGAGGGGCCGCGGCGGCCGGCGCCCGGGTTCCTCCGCCCCCGGCCCCGGCGCGCCGGCTCCCCCGAGGGAGCCAGCAGCTGCAGGCAGCGCCTCAGCGCTCCTCGCCTCACCATTACCGAGGCGGGCTGTACCCACAGGCCGAGGCAAAGTTCGCTCCACGTGGGCAGCTCACTCTCTCGTCTTGACCTTCGAATCTGGCAGCCCTGTACGGGCCGCCGCTCCGGCCTTTACTAAGATGGCCGCGCCCACGGGCCCCAGTACCGAGGCCATCTTTGTAAAGGAGGCGCCACGGGGCGCGCGCTTAAGGGCCCCTCGGCCAGCTGCTGAAGCCTTTACCCATACTGGATTGGTCACCCTGTCCTAATTCGATAACTCTCAGATGCATGAATATGTTCCTAGACACCAGCCATAATTGCTAAGACAAACTAGGATTTTGGTGGCATCTCACAGCCATGGCAATTGCAGTAGACAAGCACTTGGTAGCAGCAGACTTAACCGATGGTGCCAAGAGCCTGGTAGCGAAGAAACTAATTTGAAGAGTGTACAAGAAGTATTGAATATTAATGGCAGCACTGCCTGGTCACAGTGTACTTTTTTTTAAATGATGTCACATCCTACTGGTACACACAGTTCTTGTCTTTTTTTTATTTTTTAAACACTCTCAGGATGATGACTCAAGAGCATGAAACTGATTCTGAGTTTCTCCCAGGATTTTCTTTTTTTTTTTTTTAATTTTTTTAGTGTTTTATTTATTTCTAGGAGAGAGAGAGAGAGAGAGAAAGAGACAGGGTGAGCAGGGGAGGGTCAGAGAGAGAGGGAGTCACAGACTCTGAAACAGGCTCCAGGCTCTGAGTTGGCAGTCAGCACAGAGCCCGACACGGGGCTCGAACCCACCAACCGCGAGATCATGACCTAAGGGAAAGTCGGACGCTTAACCGACTAAGCCACCCAGGCGCCCCAGGATTTTCTTTTTCAACAGCAGAATGATAGTAGCTGTTTCAGAAATGTATAAACAAGTTGAAATCGGTTGAAACAATTCAACAGCAGGTGGTTGGGCAAAAAGATTCCTTTATTCAGTCTTCTGTTTGTGTCCGGGGCCCTCTGAAACTCGAGGGGTGGGGTGGCATGTCATGTTGGGGAAAAACACACAGGCCCCAAATGCAGATAAGACTGCTGGAAAATGCAAACCAAATTACTTTACTATTTGAAAGTGAAAGTGCACCTGTAATACTGTAGGAATACACAGATTATGTCAGGGGTGGACTTTACTCCTCAACTGAGTTTGCACAGTTCCCAAGTTTTACTGGCTGAAGTGTGATTTAGAGCTGGTTGTGCCTGGGTGGAGCTCACATTGCACTCAGGAACTGGTACCTGAGATGCAAAAAAAAAAAAAAAAAAAGGAACAAAATAAAATTGTAAGTTGAAGTTAAGCTCTAAAGTTCTTCACAGTCCTTCCGGCTAAGGAACGTTAAAAATAAGCTCGTTGTTCCCCTTACTACACATCTTTTTTATGAAGATGTCCAAATATACAGAATATAGATATGCCTTTTTGTTATACCATTTGAAGAAGTTGCAGATATCAAAATCTGTCACCCCTAAATACTTCACCCTGCCTCTTCTAAGAATAAGGACATTTGCTCCAGAATCAGGATACCATGAGTACACCTGAGAAAACAACTCCTTGATGCCATTCAGTATTCAGTCCATATTCAAGTTTCTAGGACTGACCCAAAAATGTCCTTTATAACCTTTCTCCTTCCCCTCCCCCCACCCCCACACTAGGATACCGTCTAGGGTCACATGCTCTATTTGCTTACTATGCTTAAAAGGCAACTGGAAACGTTTAATTGCCAACTCTTTTCTACACATACAGATGCTATGAAGAGACAAATGTTCACAGGATGTTTTTCCTTGAGAACAGGTAAGCACATCTCTGTACATCAATGGAGCCTAAGAGGAATGAACAGTCTTTTAACACACCATTGAGATTAGAATTGAAGCTGGACTAATAAAAGAGTAATGTTTATGCTTGCTTAACTCCCGGAATACTACATAAACCTTATGGATTGTGTTGCAATCTCTATCAACTCAACTTCTAAAGCTTAATGGTTGGAATTTTTCTAGCCCGTGAAAATAAGCTGATTAGTGTAACAATTTATATTACTCCAGGCAAAATCTCTAGTTCGCCATGCTTCCCAGGACAGGGCAAAATGAACACTGCACCCTCGGCATTTTAACTCATGGTTTAATTTTAGATCCTGACATGCTGAACGAGTTTTATTTGTCCTTCCCTCTTATGCCACCCCTAGGAAGTCAGGCACTTGGCACATAATGATTACTATTTGTCTTCTAAATTGTTACTGTTAACAACAAGACAACAGGCCCCAGATGGAGTCACTCATGCTAAGCTTCACATAACCAGAGAATTCGTTTTTTAGCCTCTCTCTGAAATGGGATCTTAAACCAACCAGGAATCACCTGGTCAGCACTATTGAGATAATCTGCCTGATGGAACCCTGCCATCACCTAAAGGAAAGGGACCCTGACATATTGATTCACATTTTTCTAGTGTAACTTCTTTGTCCCGCTCCCTTTGAAACTGCTATAGACACATAAAGACGGATGGAAATTAAGATGATCACACTTAATACTTCAGCAAGGCTTGGCTTTAAACCGTACACATTTTTCTCTTCCTTATTCTTGAAGCCTCTCCCTCCTTCACCTGTTTTTCTGTAGACTCCTTTGTTCCAGGAACTCAGTAAAGATGTTGACATCTTGCTAACCTCAATGTATTCTTAGTAACGACTACTCTAGTGGCCAGTGCTAGTTTGAGACTACCTAGAATACGATGAGTGTGGCTGGAGGCCCATACCAGATTCCTACAGAAAACCACCTAGATGCTGTACTTCCCTTTAAAACCTCTCAACCCATCACTTCTCTGGCGTTTTGGCTAAGATCAAGTGTCGTAAAACCCCTCAGCCTTTTGCCCCAGGCGAGTCTGCAATTTTGAAGGCATCAGCCTGCAGCAGCCTCCTTTGTCTGGCAAAGTTACAAAACGGTCGTTCCTGCTTATCCCCAAACTCCGTCTCTGTGTTGTATTTCAGCTCCGGAGCACAGAAGGCGGTTTCTGACAACAACTTCTGCCTATGAAAGTCTTTCATTTTGTACAGCGATGCTGCCAATTCATGATTCACTGAATAAAGCCAGTAAGATCTTTAAAATCTACTCAGTTGAATTTTTATTTTTAACATCACTTTTTAGGGGCGCCTGGCTGGCTCAGCGGTAGAGCATACGACTCTTAATTTCTGGATTTCTAGCCCCTCGTTGGTTGTAGAGATTACTTAAAAATAAAGTCCTTAAAAACTTACTTAATTTTTAAATGTTAGTTAAAGCTGTTAAAAAAAAAAAAAAGGTTAAGTATACAGTTCCCTAAGCGTGGCTAATGGCCAATGTAACTTTTCTGGAGACTGGTACTAATTATTTTAATACTTCATAAAATCTTAGGTGCTACTTATTTTTGAAAAGTCACATGTAGGGGCGCCTGGGTGGCTTAGTCGGTTAAGCGTCCGACTTTCGCTTAGGTCATGATCTCGCGGTTCGTGGGTTCGAGCCCCGCGTCAGGCTCTGTGCTGACTGCCAGCTCAGAGCCTGGAGCCTGTTTCAGTCTGTGACTCCTCTCTCTCTGACCCTCCCCTGCTCACGCTCTCTCTCTCTCCTAGAAACAAATAAAAAATATTAAAAAAAAAAAGAAAAGTCACATGTAAAACAACTTCAGCATAATAGCTCTCTCATCTTTAAAGTGAGGCCTCCTTGGGGTGCCTGGATGGATCAGTTTGTTGAGCGTCTGACTTCAGCTCAGGTCATGTCTCACAGTTCTTGAGTTGGAGACCCATGTCGGGCTCTGTACTGACAGCTCAGAGTCTGGAGCCTGCTTTGGATTCTGTGTCTCCCTCTCTCTCTCAAAAATAAACAAACATTAAAAAAAAAAAAAAAAGAAAGAAAGCCTTGGGGCGCATGGGTGGCTCAGTCGGTTAAGCCTCCGACTTCAGCTTAGGTCATGATCTCACGGTTCATGGGTTCAAGCCCCACATCGGGCTCTGTGCTGACAACTAGCTCAGAGCCTGGAGCCTGCTTCAGATTCTGTGTCTCCCTCCTCTCTCTCTGACCCTCCCCTGCTCATGCTGTCTCTCACTCTCTCTCAAAAATAAATAAAATTAAAAAAAAAAAAAAAAAAGCCTTGAGGGAGCATACATGAAGACAGTGTGCCTATAGGGGGAGGTGAAATGTGTTTAGGCCAAGGGTTAAATTTGGCCTGAAGCCCAGATGTTTTATTTTTGATTCAAACTATTTTTTAGAACACAAAATCCTCAATATTCATTATATTATGGTATTAGGTTTCCTCTCACTTTTTTTTTAATTATGAAGGAATCACAGTATCAACATTTTCAAAAAAAGTTTAGAGAGAGAGCGGGACAAAGGATCTGAAGTAGGCTCTGCACTGACAGCAGTCAGCCCAATATGGGACTTGAACTCATGAACCGTGAGATCATTACCTGAGCCAAAGTCAGATGCTCAACCGACTGACCTTCAAATTTTGCCATCTTAACCATTTTTATGTTAAGAGCATAGTTTGATAGTGCTACATGTATTCACATTATTGGAAAAACAGATCTCCAGAACTTTTTCATCTTGCAAATCTGAAACTCTGTACCCATTAAACAAAACTCCCCTTTCTCTCTACCCTTAGGCCCTGATAACCACCATTCTCCTTTCTGTTGATGTGAATTTGACTATTTAAATAACTCCTATCAATGGAATCATCCACTATTCATCTTTTTTGTGACTGGTTTATTTCACTTGGAATAATGTCCTCAAGGCTCATCCATTTTGTAGTGCGTGACAGAATTTTCTTCCTTTTTAAGGCTGCATAATTTCTCATTGTATTTATATACCACATCTTATTTATCTGTCCATCCATTCATGAACACTTGGGGTTGCCCTCTCGGTAAGTGTGAATAATGATGCTATAAATATGGCTGCTCAAATGTCTCTTCCAACTGCGCTATCAATTCTTTTAGTGATGTGCCCAGAAGCAGGACTGCGGTGTCATATGGCATTACTATTTTTAATTTTTTGCGGATCCTCCCTACTGTTTCTGTAGCGGCTGTATCA